AAATAATTTGCAGTATTTACACTGTTTAATTGCAATCATTAAGATTATGTATAATAAAAAAAAAAACTACTTCAATTGTAAAAAAAAAAAACAATTAGTTTGATTTCAAAACTAAATTTTTTGATAAAATTTCTATTGGACCAATTTGTATCAATTTGTTCTATCAGATAAACAAAAAAGATTTTCCAAATCGGTTTACAACTGATGTAGTTTGATTGACCTCCTTTTTAGAAGTCGGTTGAAAATAATGTATGTATATTATAGAATAACTAGCGATATGCACCGGTTTCGCACGGTTTTTCTGAAAATAAAATGTAGCCCATGATATTTTCTGATAATGTAACTTTCTATGGATGTTCATAATGGATAAATTGCAAAAAGCTTGCATAATAGTGGATAATAGGTAAAGTAAAGAAAAAAAAATTACTTTATCTATACAATTTAAGTAGGAAATAAATCTTCTCACTTTATAAGTTTAAATTACTCTTACTTGTTTTAATGTACAATGTTTTCATATATAAATTATTCAATGCATATTAGTTGATATTGCAAATTAAATTGCAGCATGCGACATGTCTATTTTTTATTCCTTGGCCTGTCTAGTTGAACCATGTTTTTGATTGGCCACGCCTGTATGAGCATAGGCTGTGCCTGCGGCTACAGAGGACCGTGAGCGAAGACACCTGCCAACCGCACAGAGAACTGGTTAGAAACAGAGTGTGTATGTGTGTATGTGTAGGTACTATACTACTCTCGAGTAATGCTAGAATGTTGCGGTCGTGCGACGTCGCAAATCTCAGCAATGTTACAACAGGTTAGTAATTACAGTCACAAAAAGTTTATTGCACATAATTTACAGAGCTGCGTCCCGTGATAGGCATATTTAGTTCGATTCCAGCAGATAACATTTACACATTGTAAGTAGATGTTTTTTTTACAGATTTTAAATTCATGGAATTCTTAACATTTATATTTAAATACCTACTTTTTTTAATGGGTGATAATAGAATGATAGCCCTTTTTTTGTTTTTTTTTACGTCTGGAAAATGCTTTATGCAGACCCATATACTTTGAGAGGGGTGAATGGGTACTGTGGGAATCCCCCCGTAAGGTGGGGGTGTACCCACCAAAAACCAGACGATATATCTTCGAGGTACCATATGTTGGAGACATGGGTTCGCTTTCGCACTCACCACATCTCCGACGGTAGCAACCCGCCCTCTGATGGTAAGAGCAGGTCTCCTCTCTCAAGATAGGGGGGCTGGCGTGCTCACCCTACCACTCGGGGGTTGAAAGAATGGTAGCCCTGCGTGCGCTTACAGTGTACGCTGGTGGAGCACCCGTGAGGACGAAAAGGTAGATCAGTCAGCCTGTTAACCTGTGTAAACTGTTTAGAGTCCAAACAGTTGGTAGTCCATGCAGGACAGAAATTTTATCAAATGGTCCCTCAGTGTTTTTTTTTAATGGATGATAATGGAATGATAATCCTGGTAAGCTTGGTATGGTTAGCCTGGTATGGTAAGACTGCGCTAACTGGATGACAGGTGAGAATGAAAAAGCAGGTCAGTTAGCCCAGCGTGATGAATACACTTGTAATTTAGCATGATGGTTTCCAGAGGGGGCCACGTGGAGATCGACCTGACAGGACAAATTGCTAGCAATGGGACTGGTAGTCCGCATTATTAACTATTCCTTTCCCCTCCACAATTTCGGATTTTTTTTGATGGGTGAAAATGGTATGGTAAACCCCGCACGCGCTAACGGGATACGCTGGCGGAGCACCAGTGAAGGGTGATAGATGAGAAATGAAAACAGGCCAGTTAGCTCATCATGATGAATTCATCAGGAATTAACCATGATATTTTCAGGGAGAACCGCGAGGAGGTCGACCTGGTTGGGTATATTGCTAGCAATGGGGTTCTCAGTCTCCATGACTAACAATCCCTTTCCCCCCACAATTTCGGATTAGGTTTATTGTTACTTACTTATCATCATCATTACAGCCTTTAACTGTCCACTGCTGAACATAAGCCTCCCCTTGGGGGTTTTTGTCAGTAGTTGCCACGTTTGGCAGGCGGATTGGTAACCGCAGTTAGGCTTTAGAAATGTTTTAAAAGGGACGCTGCTGTCCACCCCTCGCCTTCCCTTAGTCTGTTCTGTGACCGAGATCACACGGCAATAAGTAACACGAATGATAAATAAACCGTTGCCATGTGGTTTCGGGATAGAATAGGCCATCCATTCCTTTCTCGTGGGTGTCGTAAGAGGCGACTAAGGGAATGTATTGGTCGAGAGATAAGCAGCAATGTCCTTCATAAAACATTATCAGATTTTAAGAGGGACGCTAAAGGTCTTGCCTGAGTAAACCAACAACGTTAGAAGTTGCCATTGATCTCTCTACTATATTACTATATTATTTATACTAACTAGTATAATATAACATATAAATAAGTACCATAGCTATAAATTATCATAAAATAACTAGCAGATTAGCACAATAATTGTCACCGCGTTCACGGTACTGTAAAATGTTTACTCAAATGAAATAAACGCTCAGATTACGCTCTCGCAAACGCGACTTTGAGTGATGGTAGTCGTGGTGCTGTTTTAAATTTGTTTATGTCCCAGTTCTTAAGAGGACCGCTTTGCTAAGTTTTGTAATATGGCATAATTTATTAAGATTTACTGGATTTTTAATCCTTGCCCGCGTCTGTTTCTTTACTTACCTACTTCTAATACAAGTAATGGATTTTGTTACTGTAGTATTAAATTACTCTTCAAGTTATAATTGAATTTAATAACATAAATCGTAATTATAAAAAAAAAAAGCAAATGTTCCTAACTCTGATTATATAGATAGAGCATCGAGTGTTAAAAATGGGTCAACTTTTGTCAGCTAATTATCAAATTTGATGACTGGTTTAGCAATGTTCTCTATACTTACGCACATAATGTACTCGTATCTTGACGTATCTATATTTAATTAATTAATAAATAAAATTAGTCTTTGTGCATGAATGCAAAAAGATGTAAAGAATATAAAGCAGAATAAATATAGGTTATAAAGGAAATACTCATAACTATAGTTATTTATCATGCAAAAATGTATGAAAATCTTGACTCGCTTTTCTCGAAACATTTGTATGGACACAGTATATCTATATAATTTAAGGTTTCTAATAACATTGTGTTCCCATCGAGTTCTGTCAAAAGTTAGCTGCACAGATTATATGACCATAGATTAATACTTTACAACAGATAATTTTCGATATTTTTTTACGGAAGATTTATGTGTGCAGTTTGCACCTGTGAGAAGCCAAAAGGCGTGACCTATTGGTATAAGTACAGGTGTGTTGCCGATCCTTTCAGAAGGAGTATCCTTGTTTCTTGAATGTTTCAATGTTGTATCTGTTCGGAAATACTACTGGGAGTTGGTTTCATACTTTGGTCGTGTAATGAAAATGTTATACCAAACTAATCTCGAGGGACGGCGGTAGACTCACCTGCCTTGTTGAATTTTAACATACTCGACGAAATGTGGGCATGTCAGGTATCACTGTGTTAATTTGTTGTAGTCTAAATTAGAGACTGTAGTTAAGAGCATTTTTTTTATAATATTATCTTTTATAACTTTATAATTGTATATACGTATTACTTAATGTTTGCGCATTTGACAGAAAATACGTTTTATGCAATTGCCACGAAATTCCATTTAATATATAACGAAATTTAATTAATTAATGGTAGTAGGAATCACAACGCGCTTGAGTTTTTATATTAATTTGTATAGAGCGTTTGACAGTTGGTAGAGAAATGGCGGGAATCAGGTGCCAGTGTTGCCACATTTTCCATATAAAATATTATGTTGAAAATTGTTTATGGTATTATTTATTCTTATAAATTAATAATGACGTTAAAGTATTTATTGTTAACAAAATTTTGTTTAAAATTTAATAGAGTCGAAGAGGACTCTTAAATAGCTTCGTTCATTGCATAAATATTTCTATATTCACAAATTCATAAACACTTCTCTATAACGCATTTTTCTAATAAAGTGGGTTGTTTGACATATTTATATTTTTATTTTACTCTAGAACTTAATTTTTGTAACTCTGTAAATGATGTTTAAAAATATTACAATGATATAAATATTTTGGACGATTAACGCGATTTCATATAGCTGTTTTAATATTGTTATATTTATATCAGAACTTCTTAACCGGTGGTCCGTAGGCTATACTAGTGGTCCCTGGAAGTACCTGAAGTGGTTCGTGAAACTATTCGAAAAAGGTTAAACAGGTGACAATGAGTCGACATAACGACACACGCTGCTGCCTGCGTTATAATTAGATAAAATAAATGCATGTTTTATTTTTAGAATTATTAAGAATTTTCTTGAAAAATTAATAAATATGGTGTTGTGTAAACTGTTTGGAGTCTAAACAATTGGTGGTCCATGCAGGACAGAAATTTTATCAAATGGTTCCTTATCACTAAATAGTACAGATGGGCAAAGCACCGGGTTTAAACCCGGTGCTTTGGTAAAAACCCAATAAACACCCATAAACTCCCATAATCACCCAAAAAAATAGGTTTTTACGTATTTTTTTGAAAATATGTAAGTAATACCAATAAATTATTTTTATAAATTGTATTGATCAATTCTACAATATTAAATAAAACGTTAACTAATAATATTTCAGGAAATTTTAAAAATCTATATATAATAAAATGAAAGTAATTAATTTTCAGTGTTTTCATGTTGCAGTTGATCAACATGTTGGCCTTTTGCTTCCCGTAGATACTTTAAAATTTCTTCATAACACCTCGTTCGCACACATGGCCGTATATATTTAAATTCTTGAGCCACTAACAGTCCGAAATACTCATTTCTTTTATCCTCTTCTCCATAAATTAAGCATTTAGAACAGTTTGTTTCTTCTTTCAGTAAATTTTCTTTTACTTTATCCTCGTTTTTTTCTTTGTTGCGACGACGCTGGGTAAATCATCTGGACACTGGGTCTCACTATCGCCAAATATATTTGGAGATCGGCTTCGGCTACGGCTTGGCAGACATTTTTTTCTTTCTACAATTTTAAATTAAATTTATTAGAATAAATGCTTCGAACACACGCGATCTAAGTACCTTTTGTGTTTATTATACCTTACCTACCTAGGTATAAAAAGAGTACTTACGTAGATTTTCTTTTATTAACTGTTTTATACGAAGATCTTGATCTCTCAAATTAGCATCCATTTTACTTCCAGTGATTATCAACTAAATTAATAATCCACAAAGTATTAAATAACGTTTTTATGAAATATTTAGCACAAAAACAATACCCTTTAAATATCGATCGTCAGTAACTGTGGCTGACTTACCTATATTCTAGCAAGCAGGACTGCCAGATGTGAAGGGGAAATCCCCAATAAATTGTTGCATGTGACTGATGATGTGAGCATGTTCGTTTCATAATAAAAATGTTGCCAGGTAACCAAAAAGTCGTATGTTTTTGTGCGAATTACGATCATAATCTTTACGATCGTACATTAAAAAATAGACAAATAATAGTATGAGTACGATTTAAATCGTATATCTGTCAACCCTGCTAGCAAGACAGCGACAAAATCACGTTGCATAACAATGTAGCCCAAGCTTATATCTTATGAAATATACGGAAGAGATACGGACTTAGAAAAAACAGAAATGTTGTTCTTTGTGGAAGTCATTGATGAAATTCTATGTATTTTAGCCCGCAAACTTTCTTCAAACAAAAACAGCGCCATCTAGTATCGAGTTCTGTAATTATCTCTTTGTTTATGGATTTGAAGTAAGACCGCCACGCATGCAATACATTATGACTGGGGATTCCCCTATTCGTCGACGCTGAATATGAGGCGACGACAATCACTGTCAAACGTGTTCACTATTACTCTGACTCTGGTAACGTGACTTCCTGGTAACGTGTTAGGTAGGAAAAGCAGTAAAAAAGTGCATATTAAGGGAGCAGATTTGAAATAATATTTATACTTAACAAGAAATAATTAAAGGTAAGTGGATTTTTGAATGATACAATTATATCATGATCACTTAACAATTTTAACTTAAAATTAGATGTATTATTACAAGCTTTTATTTAGCTTGCGTTATGTAAATAAAAGTATGTAGGTATGTTCGTATGTTGATGCAATTATCCTCAATCCTCAACCGACTGGGATAAAATTTTCCATACACGTTTATTTTGGATGATAGTGCATAGTTAGCTGAGAGTCGTCATTGGATAATAATGGTGGATAGCCTAAGATGTGTACTAGATATTTATTTTTAACATAATATGCGTAAGTACCTAATCGAATTAAAGAAGTTGCTGAGAAAAATACAGAACAATACGATAATAAACTAGCGTCTGCGTTTAATCCTCCGAGGAGATGTAATTTTACAAAGGTTTTTTGTATTTATTTTATTATTTTTTTAATAAATTTATTGTAAATAACAAGAAATAATCATTGTAAAAAAATAGGCACTCTATTGTTGAATTTTCGTCAGACCAACTAATCATCGTTCATTTTTTTAGGTTCAATGGGGAGACCTAAAGATTTACGCATATGGGAGCACTACCGTACTTTACCAAACAAGTCTGTTTCTTGCAAGCTTTGTAATAAGGTCTACAAATTCAGTAATGCTGCCAAAATGCTTCAACATCTTATCACTTGTCCAAAATCTCCAGAAACATTAAAAGACTCTATGAAACTTATAAAAGATAGCTCGTCCAAAACCAAAATGTCTGGACTGTCAGAGATAGAGACAAATGATTCTTTTATAAGCCCCTCGTCGTCTGCTAACACTACAATAAATGCTGAGTTTCAAGACACCGATGATCATATAAAAACAGAATTAGCGAGAGCTATATTTGTAACAGGGACGCCATTATCGATGGTGCAACATCCTTTATGGATACAATTTTTCGAAAAATTGCAACCAAAATTTAAAATACCTTCACGTAAAGCTTTAGCGACAAAATACTTAGATAAAATATATAGAGAAATGCGTTTTGAGTTAAATGAGGAACTAAATGCTTGTAGTTACTTACACCTTCAGTGCGATGGCTGGTCTAATTTAAGAAATGAAGGAATAATAAACTTTCTTATATCAAAACCTCAACCTGCATACGTTAAAAGTTTGAATACAGAAAGTAATCCTCACACTAGTGAATACCTTAGCCAAGAAGTTGAAAAAGTAATGAAAGTGTATGGAGCAAATAAGTTTCTTGTACTTATTGGCGATAACGCTAGAAATATACAAAAAGCATTCGAATTAACAAAACTCAAATATCCACATGTTGTTCCTCTCGGTTGCTGTGCACATATCCTTAACTTGTTGTGCCAAGATATTGTAAAGATACAAGAAGTAACTGTGTTTATTATGCAAGCCATAAATATAATAAAAACTGTTAAAAGGAGTCAACGATTAAGTTCCTTGTTGATAAAATCAAGGCAGGGTGAAGATTCTACACAAACACTAAAATTGCCTTGTGCTACAAGATGGGGAAGTCATGTTACTTCGTTAAAAAGTTTGAAAGCAAATAAGATAGCTTTGCAAATATTAACAGTTAGAGAAGATGTGGTAATTTCAAGAGATATTAAAGATTTAATTCTAAGTGATGATTTCTGGACGAAGACAGGGGAATGTATAAGTATTTTGGAACCAGTCACTGAAAGCATATTTTACTTAGAGAGCGACCAGAATCGTTTGCATCGCACATACATTACATTTAGAGATGTACAAGCTAAGATACGTTTTGCATTAAATGAGATTTCGACATTGAGCGAAGAAAGCAAACAGCAGATTCTAACATCAGTATCTTCAAGATGCAATATGGCAATGAGGCCAATACATTTTGCAGCATATATTCTAGACCCCAGGACTCTAGGAGTCGAACTTACTCAAGAGGAAGAACTTAAGGGTATGGAGTTTATCTACAATTTAAGCCAACACTTAAGTTTGTCAAATGTAATGGCAGATTTGGCGTGTTATAAAGCTAAAGAAAACTTTTGGGCCAGAGGATTTGTATGGAGCTCATTAGATAGCATTGAGCCCCTAATATGGTGGAAAGGTATTTGTGGTTCCACTGAGTTAAGCAAAGTAGCGATTCGTATTCTATCAGCTCCCTGTACTTCGGCAGCCACTGAGCGTTCCTTTAGTATCCAAGGCTACATACATAATAACAAAAGAAATCGACTTACAACTGAAAGAACTGAAAAAATTTCATTCATTTGTTATAACTGGAATCTTAAACATAAAGCTGAATGCGAGGACATTCAGTTTAATGAAGAAAATACCTTAGAAGCTTTCATTGAGCAAGTAAATGAACATAACAGTTTAGACGAAATAGAGCCTATCGAACCTATACAATTCATCGCTTGTAATAACTCTGAATCTGACAGTGATTGACTGTAGTTTTACATTTTACTTTCATCTCTTTCTTAATAAACTCAAAATCAAATTAAAAGTTTTTTATTCTGTAGGCTGCATAATAATATTGTCTATGTCCAGTATAGTGGACGTCTTGCGGCTGAGATGACGATGATGAAGTACAAAATCATAAACACCCAAAAATTTGGGTGTTTATGGGGTTTAAACCCAATAAACCCAAAACACCCGGTTTTTACCCACCAGACTTTAAACCCACCCAGGTGGATTGCCCATCTCTACTAAATAGTTTTTTAAATAGATGATAATAGAATAGTAACCCACCTGTGCTATCGGTATATGCTGGCGGGGCACCATTGAGGGATAACAGGTGAGAATGAAAAAGCAGGTCAGTTAGCCCATCGTGATAAATACACCTGGATTCCAGCACAATTGTTTCCAGGGGATCTCGTGGTGGTTGAGTAGTAAGGTAGTATATTGCTAGCAATAAGGCTGTCCCCCCCCTACCCCTCACTAATAGGTTAAAAATCACTGATCCAGACAATTGTAATTAATTTATAGTAATAAATGGCATGGAGATACGTAGCCAAGTTCAGCGTTCTTTGGCCATGTTCCAATATGTCTAATGTGGGGGGAGGGGGTTATTAGTAATGGGTACTAATAACTCTATCGTTAACAATATATCTAATAGTTTGATTTCCACGCGGTTCCGCTTGGAAATCATCGTGGTTAATTTCTGGTGGATTCGTCATGAAGGACCAAGTACATATATTAATAATGTATAAATATGTCAAGTATTTCTTTATTTTTCCTTTACTGAATAATGCATCGTCCAATTATTTCTCGGTCGAGTAGTAGAGAACACCGTCCGGTGTTAAGTCCGTCAAATGTACATAGAATTTTACTGTGTATTAAAGTTTAAATAAACAATTAATTATTACAGATATTTAAATACACGACAACAATATTAAGCAAGCAAAGTTACAGTAAGTATAACTAAGTATTATACAAGTTGGTACAGTAATTTACTACAAAAGAATAGACAGATCAATCTTTCAGAGTTTGTATACAAGAACATTGAAATCGTTTCTTTTTTTTCTTTTACCCAGTTTAGAACGTTGTTTTGTTGTTCTGTACCAAGCAGAGGCAGCTAGAAACTCGACAAACTTTCTTAAAAGGATTTCGAATCGAAAAAGAAATAAGTTTGTATTCATTAAAGTACCAACAAGACGTTGTTTGTTTGTATTTTCTCTGGATCTATCTTTACCAATATTATAAATGTAAAAGTGAGTTTGTTTGTTACGTTATAACGTCTTAATGTCTTAACTAATTATTGTGAAATTTAGTAAACACAAACTATATGAGATGTAGAAGGATATAGGCTACTTTTTATCCTGGTCAGTAAATATATCCCGGCCACGCGGTAGAAGTCGTGGGAAAAAGCTAGCGTACAATATTTTTATTTCTTTCTTATAATATGGCGTAATAGCAATACGGGGTAAATAATTATGGTTATACATTATTCTTTTTGCTATTTGTTTATGTTAGTTTCTTTTATTATAGTTTAACAAGTTGTTAGTTTGTTAATAAATATAATAAGTCATTTTTAGCTTAATTTTGAAAATAAGACTGAATTTATCACCTCTCTACGAGTACATTAAACACTGATTGTGTGTGGGAATCTATAAATTGTTTGCAAGTAGGCTATATTGTGGTTTTGGCGCGAAAATTTGTTTGTTTTACCAGTACTGAAATATAAAACGTACGCCATCTGCAATGGTTCTTGTGGTTGAATGGTTTTAAAAGTAGAAAGAGAACGTCCAGCTTTGAAAATAATGCCTATACTGAAATAGCATTTCTTATGGACCTGGCAATAGATTTTCTACAAATAAAATGGTAATTATTATATTTGTTTATTGTGTTATTTTTTGTTTGTTTTTGAATTAATTAAAAAAAAAAACCAACTACAAAAATTAAAAAAAACATTATAAAAATACAACAGTAAAAACAAAAAGTCAACAGGTTTTTACAAATAAAAAGAAGATTTAACCAAATGCATATGACATCGCTAATGCGTACAATTAACTAAATTAAACTTGAAGTAATAGATACAAGCATTGTTAGTAGGTAGTTACGTAAAATAAAAAGTTGAAATCACACGCTCAAAGATGAATTATCAAAAAACCACTGACTCAGCACACGTCTTGCGGATTCTATCACAGAATTAAATAAATTTATTTATTTAACTTCTTATTGTACTAGAAACATAAAAATATACAATGATAATTTAACAATTTAAATAAAATACAGTAACATAAAATATAGATTAAAATATACACATAAAGGTACAAAAGGCGGTCTTATCGATAGCGCAATCTCTTACAGTTACTTTGGTTAAAGGAGAACAAATAGGAATTAATTTAAATCGATATCTCTATATATTTTATTAATGTTTTCGTTTACACGCCAGAGCTATGATTTTTTATAATAGAGGAATATACATAGAGAACAAGAGTGCTCATATTTATAGAGAAATAACTGAGTTAAGGTTTTTTATACAACTTTGAATGAGAAACAAGCTGACGGTACTTCTAATGGATATATTCATTGTCTACAAATGTAGACAGTATTGTCGACCGATTGGTACCCAGTAATTTCATGGCCACTCTTGAAATTGAAACACAACCATGCAAACACAGCTGTATGCTTTACTAGGTGTATACTCGATAATGTTACAAAGATTACATTATTAGAATTAATTGTTAGCGAATTTACAGAAATTTCCTGTCAGCCACGTTACAGAAGGAATTTCTGCGTATTTTATATATCTAGAAGTACATTTTAGAATTAGTTTAGGCTTCTAGAAGTGTATGAGAGTTGTATAAAGCAGAAGATTTGGAGAAAAGTATGTATTATAAACTTGAAAATTTGTAAAGATGGTTGGATATTTAGTACTTTTTCACGCATAAATTACTGAACGGATTTGAACGAAATTTAGTACACCGGTAGACTATATCCTAACTTAGTACATAGGATGCTTAATGTAGTAACAGATAGGTTACTACATAAAGTATCCTATGTACTAAATGTATAAAATTTCTAATTTTACATAGAATCCTGTATATACTGATGTATTTAGCACATACTACATGTACCAAATTTATATCCTAACACAGGATTTTATATACCGATGCATGATTTCAAATTCGGGGGGAATATTTAATTATAAATAAATTTTGGCCTAACGCCGCGGGTTCAATTCTCGTGCAATTTAACAATGTATTAGTTTGTGTGTTAATGTTTGAAAAAAAGTATTTTCCAAAAATTTACTTATTTATTTATTTATTATTACCTGCAGTTTACAGATGATCAAACCCCAACATACTACAGGTAATTAAAATTTATAGGTACATGTCAAGTTATTTACAATAATTATTAGTAATAATTAACTATAAAAGATTACGATTATATTCAATTTTCATAAAATGTCAATTCTGTAATTAATTAACCAGAGGGAGACTTTGTACAAAAGTCGATTGCTTGGGTATCTCTGTCCCGTTCGTGTTTCAACCGTGAAGCAGTTGTGTTTGCATGGCTGTGTTTCGGTTTGAAGGGTGGGATATGGCGTGAATTTATTGGGTACAGAGGAATAACATTTGAGTCCTCAGGAATGGCAACGCATGGGGGTTATCATGTACTCATGATACCCCACATGAGTGAAACAGTATACTGTGTTATGTCCATGGTACTGCTCATGTCTATAGGCGACGGTTACCACTTTCCATCATGTGGGCCGTCAGCTTGTTTGCCGTTCTAAGTTGTATTAAAAAAAAATCCACTATAGTAAATAGGAAAACAATAATAATATATAATACAATGTCAATATATACATTAGAGCAAACATTAGAGATATGTCATAGAGAATCCAGGAATATATAAGCTGCATTATTTATTTATTAGTCATAATATTTAGTTATTAGTTTTAATATCCATTAGTAAAAGTGCTGTTTATTTTGTCACAAGATGACATTATGTAAAACGTTCAGTGGCAAAAAAAAATATATTGCTCAATAAATAACGCAGATAACTTTGAAAAGAAATAAAAATTAAATGTCAAGGACAGTCAGTAAATTTATGCTTCATAGACATCACAAGTAGTCGAGACTATGCATCCGTGGAATCGCGTTCCGAGAATAGAATGGCGGTCGAATAGTTTATTTGTGATTTGTAGCATTCATAGGCATAGTCTAGGCTTTGTAGTACAATAGAATCTTTGTAGTTTTAGTGTCTGGCTGTTTGTTCACACACTTTCTTTCACCATTGTAATTTGGTATACAGAGGAGAAATTTTATGTACGACAATGAAATGGTAACTCCATTTGCGCTATCGGTATGCGCTGGCGGGGCACCAGTGAGGGATGAAAGGTGAGAATGAAAAAGCAGGTCTGTTAGCCCATCGTGACGAATTCAACGATAAATTTGTCAAGAACGGATTCCAGGGTGAACTGCGTGGAGGTCGACCTGATTGTACATATTGATAGCAATAGGAACTAACCTCAATATTACTAACAATCTTCCCCCCCCCCCCACTACATGGGATGTTAGTCAGTCTCATAGGTATTATGCATAGTCTAGTTTGTATGGAATGCTTATGTTTGTACCTACATTCTACATAGAATATTTATGTCTGTTTATCATGTTATTGGCATTCCAGCATCATTCATGAACGCTGGATCTACACGTGCAGTAGTACTCGAGACTGACTAGTGTCAAGTGGATGTCAATGTTCCAATAGCGAAATTAGCATTTGCAATGATTAAAACAGCCGGCGAATTAAATTTAATTATCATTCCTTATTATTTATTTAGTTATACTGTTTAACTTAAAATAATTATGCGGGGTATTTACACAACTGGATTATATATATATCTGTATAGCTGAGATTATTTTTTAATTTTTTTTTTGTAAAATAGACAAAGGAAATGTGAAGTGCAAGACATGATTATTTTCTATTTAAAAAGTATGTATAATTTATTGAATTTTTAAAATATATTCCAAGAAATGCTGAATTGGAATTAGACTCACAATTTTTGAGAATTATAAAAAAAGAGGCTGTCAAATTGGTTTTTTTTTAGTACCTGTTATTACATAAGAGAAAGTAACTTTTAAAATTATAGATCCTGTGATATTTTATGAGTATAAAATATAAATATAAGAAAAAATCCACATTTTTTTAATTGCACATTAGTAAATTATATATTAATGATAGAAATAATGA